ACTATCCTATCGCATCGTACATCGTCGCACGGAACCGATCCTCACTCTACGATACCACATCACACCCAACCACACAGCGCGCTACATGGTCAGTTGCACCAAGTACATACTAAAGGAGCTAAAAGGAAAAAAGGAGAATAAAGACCAGGTTTCATTTGGCCGGGAAGCGGAGCCAAGTTCGACCACCAGCGTGGCAAGTGTGCAGTCTACCAATGCAAAAGATGTATGCGTCGAGAGTGGATAAATCAGGGATGGACGGATAGATGAAGCATGGACACATTTATGCATTTACGGCTCCCAGATGGGTGACCATGGATCGCGTGAAGGGGAACTCTATAGTTGGATGGCTAGACTAATCCAAGGTGGATAGATAAAGTCGAGTGAAATACATGATGCTTGGATGTGAGGTAAATATGTGGACGTAAGATAAACGGATTAGTACTAAAATGTTAAATACCATCGAATGGAAAAATTAGATCAGGCGGACAGATTAAAAGGAAAAAGGTAAATGGATGGATAAGGATGGATGAAGAGAAGGCCAGATGGTAGTAGGGAGGGGCCGTTGACTATGCAGTAGATGTGCATATAATGAGTAGAAGTTAACAGAGAGAATCAGGATGCACAAGACATAAATTAACACAGTAAAATTTGACGAAGAAGAAGTGGACTCACCCACTAGCACCTCTTACGCTGAGTCGCTGCCTTAGCTTCGACCCGAGCCTGCATCACATAGAGGCCGAATGTAGTCAAGACCAGAGCAAAGACTGACATGAACTAGTTCTTCTGAAGGCCCTCCAAATTAGTCTCCTGTACGGAAGTCTCCTCCTACTCCCACTTCCTGGCTAGGCGTTGCTTTAACTGGCGGCCAAGTCAAGCTTTCACTTCCGGTAAAGTAAAAAATGTTCAAAAGACCACCAGAGATTTCGAAATGGTCAAGGCAACTCTATTTAGTATAGACGGCTCAAAAAAGGGCCATGATATTACGCTTCTGAGGTGCTTGTTATCTGTGTGAATTAGGATGGTGTGAGTGGTGATTTTCCACCTTCAAGCGCTTTACCTACATGCCGCATGGAACAGACCTCGCCTGAGCCTATTGATCGCGCTAAGACAAAAAGAAGTGCTGTAAAAAAGGTAGATGCATTGATTTTGAATCATATCCCAGTAGCTAACACAAGGGCGAGTTGCCAATTATTTGGACATAAAGTAAACCCTGGCTGCAAATCCTCAGAGTAATGAGGCTGCGGCTATGGTAAGTAGAAAATTGGGGCCAGCGGTATCATCGACCGGCGGAATGAAGTACAGGTGTGGTCGGTTGATGGATGATTGAGGTATGCAGTTCTCTATTATAAGGCAATCGTAATAGCATCGATCACACAGATGAGCCAGCCGTATACCACAGGAGAGATGGCGCTGAGCTAATGCTAAGGCGGAGGATAGTGATTAACCGGTAAATAGCTATGGCGAAGGTAAAAAGAGGCCAGGTCATTCCACACATTTCAGGCTACCACAAATAAATTGGCAGTAGTGAAATGACTCAACTGCCATTTCAACACCATTTAGGCAATCCGGACACACTTTCGGTTTTGCATTTGGCGGCAATTTATCTACCTCTTCGGATATGACTCACGACTGGAGCAGAAGATCCTTAAACAAGCAGCTAAAGGCCTGCCTTAAGAAACCACCTAGGCTTCCTAATTATTAAACCACTTTTTTGTCACTGCCCCTGCTGTTGCCACACTGTCGCCAACTTTATCATTACTATCGACGTTCTTTACCTTTTCTTCCACCACCCCTCCCTCCGCAGTCAAAGTAGGCACGGTGGAATGGCAATGTCGTGTAGTGTGGGAGAGATTGGAGATAATGAGGCATGACCGAGACGGTAAAGGCAAATAAAGCTATGAAATGGTGTGGACCAGCAATGAGAGGAGATGGGTTACAAGTGTGAGGTTTGTTGTAGGCGGGTAATAAGAAAGGGGTGTAAGGGAGGGATGTTGGTGAGAAGAAGGGAAGGGAGAATAAGCACTGACCCTGACGTGATTTAAACACGCAACCCTCCGATCTGGAGTTGGACGCGCCACCATTGCGCCACGGAGTCACCATCGGTACCACCAACCATGACGGGTACACGATCCCTCACTGCAGCATACAGCAGTGCGCTATTCCCTTCAGCGAATTGTACTTTAGCGCGCACTGGAACAGATAATAAGTATTATGTGACTAAAAGGCTTCTAGCAATATTGGAAATAACCGGACTCCTAAGGAGCACTGGAAAGCGCGAGAAGGCGGTTCTTAGGTTATGGCAGTGGGTAGTGCTTTCGGACTCTACCTAGAAGACTGTAGATTGATGGATGGAGATGCACTTATCTTGCTCGAAGTATGACGATTCGTAAGCTTGGCATATGTCTATTTCGCCCTCTCCTCACCCTAATCACCTAGTCCATTCCCTTTAAAAATAATTTAGTCAGAATTTCTGGAGAGCCTGTTTACCCACCCTTCCTCTCCTTCATAGATACAATGCTTCGCTTTACTTACACGTGAGCTTCCACTATCTCACTTCAACCTCACTCATCATCTTACCTCCTCACACCTCTGCTCAGCTGCACTCTATTCTCTATGGGACAAAACACTTTGACCATTACTTTAGCAAACAAATTCGGCAATCGAAAAAAGGAGGATTGATGGAAGCTGAGAAGTGAGAAATTGATTTAATACCTCAACCTCCTAATCTCGAGTGAGACATGCTAGCGTTGCGCTAAGGAATCACACTGACATCGCCACCATCACCAAGATCCATGACGGGTGCACGATCCCTCAGTGCGGCATTACAGCATTGCGCTACTTGTGGTTGGTCACCTCAACATCACCACACTGAGCGCAGTAGCAGCGACAGCAACGTTAAAGACGGCAATGAAATAGACGCAAATAAGTGGTAGAGTAAAAGTTGCTGAATGAGGTAGTGCAAATGTAGGCGTGAGTTAAATATTGGTTTGAGGGAGGGCGGAGCACGGTTGTGCGCGTGATAATACGGAGACGGTTATTCAGTGGTATTCAATCTTTGCAGTCATTTTGCAGCATGCTTTAGTTTGCTGCGAGTTTCACATATTCTTTGATTTAATTACAATCGTGTTATAAAATGCTAACAATCTTCGTTATTTTCACCATCATCACCCTTCTCATTTCCACCTCTCTCCATGCTTCACTTCCATTGCTTAGTCTCTCTCTCCTTACAGGCATTACTTCATTTTCTCCACTTTCATCATTATTAACAGGACCAGAAATAAAACTCTAACTGGCACATTTCCTATCCCTGATGCGTGCATTCTCAGGGAAGTGATTTTTTTGTTGTGTTTTCAATAAAACAAAGGCCGCATATTAGATGTTTCACTTTCGCGTAGGCAAATGTTTTTTCAAATACAATCACTAAACATTAAAATTACATTCAATTTACGCTGTTAAGATGCACCACTTTAATTCACCTTTTTCTTCATTCATAATTACACTGCAACAGCTTCAAGACCGCTAAAATCTAGGGTAAACGTAGGCATCCGAAACGGGTAGAAATATGAATAAAAATGGTACTCGCCACAGCTCAACAGCCCTTGAGGCGGTGCTGAGAAGTTCACAGCAGAACCTAGTGTCTCAATTCTACTACTTGTTGACTAACTTGAATAAAGACTACTTCCAGTAGCTTGTGCAGCTACCAGCGGTACATGATATAGCATTTTAATTACTGTGGTTTTGATGGTGTGTGTGCTAGGTGTCCAGTAATGGGTGAGCATTCGTGGTGTAGAATTCACAACTCGTATTCATCCAGAAAGGAGAATAAAGACCAGGTTTCATTTGGCCGGGAAGCGGAGCCAAGTTCGACCACCAGCGTGGCAAGTGTGCAGTCTACCAATGCAAAAGATGTATGCGTCGAGAGTGGATAAATCAGGGATGGACGGATAGATGAAGCATGGACACATTTATGCATTTACGGCTCCCAGATGGGTGACCATGGATCGCGTGAAGGGGAACTCTATAGTTGGATGGCTAGACTAATCCAAGGTGGATAGATAAAGTCGAGTGAAATACATGATGCTTGGATGTGAGGTAAATATGTGGACGTAAGATAAACGGATTAGTACTAAAATGTTAAATACCATCGAATGGAAAAATTAGATCAGGCGGACAGATTAAAAGGAAAAAGGTAAATGGATGGATAAGGATGGATGAAGAGAAGGCCAGATGGTAGTAGGGAGGGGCCGTTGACTATGCAGTAGATGTGCATATAATGAGTAGAAGTTAACAGAGAGAATCAGGATGCACAAGACATAAATTAACACAGTAAAATTTGACGAAGAAGAAGTGGACTCACCCACTAGCACCTCTTACGCTGAGTCGCTGCCTTAGCTTCGACCCGAGCCTGCATCACATAGAGGCCGAATGTAGTCAAGACCAGAGCAAAGACTGACATGAACTAGTTCTTCTGAAGGCCCTCCAAATTAGTCTCCTGTACGGAAGTCTCCTCCTACTCCCACTTCCTGGCTAGGCGTTGCTTTAACTGGCGGCCAAGTCAAGCTTTCACTTCCGGTAAAGTAAAAAATGTTCAAAAGACCACCAGAGATTTCGAAATGGTCAAGGCAACTCTATTTAGTATAGACGGCTCAAAAAAGGGCCATGATATTACGCTTCTGAGGTGCTTGTTATCTGTGTGAATTAGGATGGTGTGAGTGGTGATTTTC